ACAAAAACTTCACCTTCACCTTCGTCCATTTCTGGTTTGCCTTCTTCTGTGGTTTCTCTGCGCAGGTGAGAGACGAGTAGTTACAAAATTATGATCGAGCCATTGCAGAAATGCCTTTAACCTGCATTTTCCTTGTAGTCAAGTTAGACTAAACATAATATGACATTCAATCTGTAAATAATTATATATAAACACTCACTTCATTGTGTGTCATGAAAAGGCAGAACAAACCAGTTAGAGAAGTCATAGTGAGATCTGAATTTTAGTATGTAAATGAGAATGGAAGGGGTAGAAAAACCCCCAAACTGTACTAAAACTCTGAACAGCAGACATATTATTAACGATTTGTCTTTATACAGTAATTTTAAAAAATGAGACATGAAGCAGAATAACACCAGTTACACCAGAGCCTAGGTACGGTCAGTGTAAATAAGAAAAATACCAAATTATTTTGAAAGGAAAATAAGAGATACAAAAAATAACATCAGTTTACAAATTTCAAATACGATGCTGCACATTTTGAATGATAATGTGAAGTCTGTTAATGTACTTCATTTCAATTGAGTCCAAAATTGAAGAAGTTGGTTAAAGGTCCACTTCTGTTTTTGCTTTTCAGACTGTGTATGATGAGTGGTTTATAACGCTCTACAATCTGATGTACACAGCACTACCTGTACTGGGAATGAGTCTATTTGATCAGGTAATGGGATCATCTGTATGCATGAAAATATCATGGCCATAAATCTGAGCTCAAATTAATTCCTTCCCGCCAAAAAAAAAAGAAAGAAAAAGAAAACCCCCGAAAACAAACCCAAACCAACTAAAAAAGGATCTAATGTCTTTGTCTCCCCCTGCTGGTTAGGATGTGAATGATGTGTGGAGTTTCCAGCATCCTCAGCTCTATGTTCCAGGTCAACTCAACCTGTACTTCAGCAAGAAGTCCTTCTTCAAATGCGCCCTCCACAGCTGCTACAGCTCCTTGGTGCTCTTTTTTATCCCCTATGCTGCTATGTATGACACAGTGAGGGATGATGGGAAGGACATCGCTGACTACCAGTCCTTCGCCCTCCTCACTCAGACATGTCTGCTGTTTGCCGTCAGCATCCAGGTATCCAGAAACCTTTCTTTTGCATAATTTTTCAAATGTTTATTTGTTTATTATAAAACGTATATAACTATAGAACCTGCTGGCTGTCTTTGCCCATAGCTGGGGTTTGAGATGTCCTACTGGACGGCAGTTAACACGTTCTTCGTGTTGGGAAGCCTGGCGATGTACTTTGCTGTCACATTCACCATGTACAGTAACGGCATGTTCACCATATTGCCATCAGCCTTCCCTTTCATAGGTGAGTGACAAACTTGCCATCTCTGACAGCTTTGAGTATCCAATCCATAAATGTAACGATGTGTTTTTTTTGACTGCATGTCTGCTCCGGCTGCTCACTCTTTTATATGAGGCTAAAGTTAATCTCAAGTAATTCAAATAAGACTAACAGTGTTTGAATTGTGTTTGGTATCTTTGCAGAACGTCTGCTTTATGAGGTCACGTGGTAGTGGCTTTCAACATGTTTGTTTTTCTCACTAAATTGATCTACATTGTCTTGGAAAGTTGTAAAATTTGGGATAAATACTTCTTTTTTTCCCCGCTTATTCTCTATATACAAAATCAACATTCAATTTTTCTTAAATTGAAACAGTTCTGTTTTAATACTTTAAAATGTTGAAACATTACTTTTTTTTTACATAAAATCTCCTTCTTGATTTAAAGGCCTTTCTTTTTAGGCTACCACAATGTGCAACAATATTTGACAGTCTGAGTGTCTTTAGACTGGGAAAAGCTGAGACACCGTTTAAAGTAACACACAATCCTCTAACGCTGGGCATGCACTGTGCCATTTCTGGCCCATTTTGAGCCGATTTTTCAGTCGTGCGACCGTTTTGGTGATTGGCCCGAGTTTCGCCTTCATCATGTGTCGTGCATCGTGTAGTATACGTGGGGTAACGAGAAGTGATTAACACCTCACGACCAGCTCCCGATCATCAGTCGTTTGGTCGTAAGAAAATCCAACCTGTTTGAAATCCTGTCTGCCGCCGTGAGGGTGTCACCGCAGCCTCTCACACTGCGCACACGCAAACACAGAAATGAAAGTGAAAAGACGGCGCAGCACGGCAGTGCGGCGTGTGATCTGGACACAAGCGATGAAAGCACAACTTGTAGAACTTTGGCAAGCTCATCTGAGCTATTTCGATGTGGCCTCACAAAATTATCACGACCGCAACAACCATGAAAATAGTTGGATGGACAATGCTGCTCAATCACAGCTGCCCGATTAATGTTTTTCATTAGCAATTTAGCAGAGTTGATGGTGGTGGTGTGCGTGTCTGTGTGAGTGAAAGACAGAGAGCAAGAGGCAGATTTTGTGTTATAACCTTCATTTTATGGACGCACAGTGTGAGCACTCAGGTCGCATCAGAGCATCGGGCTGTATAGTGGGAGACCCTGCATCGTGACCTACGAACTTCTAACCCCTGCGAGTCAATCGTACAGTTTGAGCTGAATAACGCGACTGAAAAAAATCGCACAGTGCATGCCCAGCTTAAGAGCTTTCACTGCTTCACCCTGGTGTTTTACAGTAGATACCTCTATATATAAGGCTGGAGCCCACCAAAACAACTCCCTGATAACGACTGTGTGATGACTATTCTTCCCGTCCCATGAAGGCCACCTGGGTTGGCTGGCAGACTGTTTACTTAGCCTGATAGTGCGAAGGACACTGTCTCCGCTGAACTCTGGACACACACACACACACACACTTACACTGACAAGCACTCACTCATCCCCCTCCCTTTCCAACGCCTTCGATGCTTGTGCCCTACCGGGGAAGATAGCAGTCAACTGGACCAGCGCAGATGCTGCAGGACCGGATGCGCTGTCTACGCCAGCTCTCTCTTACCCTTTACCCGCCCCTGTTGCTTGTCTCGTGTTTCTATGGTGTATTGATAGTCATGTGCTTTTGTGCTGAGGTGTTTTTTCTGTTATCAAACTGTTCTCCCACCAGGAGCTCAGTCTGAGTGGAGTTTTTTTTTTCTCCTCCTCTTACCTCATGTAGTGTATTTTCGTTGTTTTTTCCTATCAGCCTACCTTTCTGACATGTCTCCCCAATGTGATGTTTGTGTAAAGTTGGTCAGAAGGTTCCTTTGTGAGTGCGCATGCGCCATTAGCGTGCTGCCTGCTGTAACCCCTAATTTCCCTCGGGATGAATAAAGTATTCTGATTCTGATTCTGATACTGAGGTGTCAGTATTTAAGGAGGTCTGAAATGACAAGGCAATGGAGCCTTTTTGGGTCACAATGATCTGTGGCGACCTGGCTTGTTGTCTAGGAAAAATAATTTTAAGACTATTTAAAATGATTTTAATAACAAGATATTTATAAGAGATAATTAAAAAACCTCTTTGGGGGGAAAGGATAAATTTGAGAACAGAGATACTGCACTCTAACACATCACCTGTAATACAATCTCTTAAAATGAGTATTTCGATGTGAGGACAGCCTGGTCTTACTAAATGTTCACGTGTGTCTAAACATTTAAAATGATATTTACCCCAAGTTATTTTCTTTTTGTTTTGATTATTTTGCCTCAACATGAACATTTGTAACCTTTAGTAAAGTGGAGCTATTACACCTATTACCTTTTTTTATTTGTGGACTCCACGAATACTAATTATCCTTTCTAATGACTCATCTGTTGTTAGGAGAATAATCCAATATTCTTCATGTTTTCATTGCTCTGAGGGTTAACAGGTTAATTTGATATCCATAAAATAGAACAGAATTCATATATAGGGATAAAAGTCTGGGCCAGGAGTACTGTAAATAAAAACTCTTCACACCTGTAATAATACAAACCTTATGTATGTGTGTGTTTATTCAGGAACAGCACGAAACTCCCTGAACCAGCCCAACGTTTGGCTGACGATCTTCCTCACTTCCATCCTGTGTGTCCTTCCTGTCATTACCAACCGTTTCCTGATGATTCAGCTCTGCCCCACCATCAATGATAAGGTAGCAGAGGAGATGCAGCTCTACCTGCTGTGCTTGACTATCATGGGAAACTCACACCTCCATTTTTTTAGGTGTTAGACTTTTTAAGAATCTGCCGGGAAGCTGGTTTAGGGCAGTGAGACGCTTCCTCCTCTCAGTGTGACTTTCGGTTTCTGAGGAAATCATCTTCAGTGTCCTTTTTAAACTATTGCTAATAAACAAGTGTCAAAAAACAGGGAAAAGGTCATTTTACAGTAACGTTTTACTCACAACAAAGTAATCTAGAAACATGGCATAGAAAACTACTCGAAACTAATTCATCGTACTTCAACAGCTAACTTGCCAAAAACAAGTACAGGTTAAAAAGCAGAGCTTATTGAGAATCAAGGGTCAGTGAGTTGAATTGCAGTTTGAGGGTGCAACCTGAATTCTGTGTACCTGAGATACAAGATAGACAAACAAGACGTGATTCATCCTTTAACTAGTTTATTTGGATAGATGTGTTTACTCCTGAGATTCAAACCCACGGCTCTCTGAGGAGTTTCTCAAAGGATTTGTCTTTTTAAAGGTTTTCTCACATATACAATATGTTTAAGATGGACTCATTAACCTTCTGGCTTCTTATTTAACTAAATGTTTCCTTAAAACACCCACTCCTGCATTATAACTGTCTCATTTCCTCCCCAAATGTTAGGTTATGTTCAAAGTGAGGCAGGCGAAAGCAACACCTGCTCCACCAACTCGACGTGCCCGCATCCGTCGCACCAGCTCCCGCCGTTCGGGCTACGCCTTCTCGCACGCACAGGGCTATGGGGACCTGGTGACATCGGGTCGGTTCCTGCGGCGTCCTGCCCTGACACGATCTTCTGGTTTCACCCACGCAGGCCGCACCACTACTAGCTTCAGTCCAATGGGACGATCGGCCGGTTACAGCCCAACGGGACGTCCTCAGAATAACAAGGTCCCAGACGTGGAGGTGACTTCCCTGCAGATGTATAGGACAATCACAGATTCTGCTCCCTGATGGACAGCACATTTAGGACTCTGTGGAGAAATTTGGGAGCAAATAATTAACTACTGACTGGAGAGCTACATGATGTTGGCAGCCAGAAGTGTTCAAAGGTCCTATTTGTTGCAATGAAGAGCTTGCTTGGGCTTTCCAGAGAAGTTCATGTCAAAGATTTTTCATACCTACACAGAAGACGAGGTTTGAAGAGTACATGACTTTAGCTCCTTACATTTTTCTCTGAAATGGTGTCATCAAAGGGAACTACAGCAACAAATGTAGCCACTTATGATGGGTATATGAATCGTCTTCTTAAGATGCCAGCGGATGAGAGGGTGATTAATGAAAGCTTTCTGTCAATATAGATAACAACCGGGTGCTTTGTCTTCAAATAGGAAAGGAAACAATATGTCATCATGTTTACAGGCTACCCAGTCCACCTGGGAGTCCAGCTGGAAAGCAGTGTTTGCAGAGGAAATAACGAGCAAAGCCATGTTGCACAAGATATTGACTTTTTAAAATCTTTTTAAAGCATTTTATTTTCTTAATTTGAAAGCTGTACAAGCGGTCAGCACTTTGGCTGTGTCACAGTGGCAGTGGGGAATAACCAAACGTATCATAAACTGCTTCTTCTAATACAATACCATATTAAGGGCCCAGGGGTGGAGCGGGGTGTAATACTCAGAGAAGAAAACTCATAAATTTATAAGAGAAATGTCGAGGAATCGCATCACTTAAATTTAAGGTTTGGTAAAACCAAAAAGTCACAGAAAGTAGATTTTGGTATGTTGATAGAGTCAGTTGAGACTTATTTAAACACTGTTATTGATCCAAAAATGAATTAAAACATTTCAATGGAGAGAAATGTCGTTGGCGTTGTAGCAACATTTGTACAAAATTTAAATTTGTGAGGTCTCTGCCCCATAATGAGTTTATTTATTTTATTAAAGTTGAGCGCCCTGAATACCCAGAGGTGGGTAGAGTAGCCAAAAATGGTACTCAAGTAATAGTAGCACTCCCTCAACATAGTTTTACTCAAGTAAAAGTAAAAAGTAGCCGTCCAAGAAATTACTCAAGAATAAAAAAGTATTTAGTGAAAATGGCTACTTGAGTACTGAGTAACTGATAATAACATCTGATTTAATGTTTAAAAATGAGCCAATCAGACAGACAAAAATCTGAAGTTTAATACTGAAAAGCAAAATAAAAATACTACATATAAAAAAAAAAAAAAACATAATTACAAAATAATAAATCTAATCTTTTCAAAATCATTATGAAACTAATATTTAGAGAAGGTAATATAAATGTTGCTAGAATTGGGTAAAGTACTTCCAGTAACAATACATGGTGATACTTTACTTCTCCAAATGGCACAACAGGCTCAGCAGATAGAATAACATTAAAACAACAAACCGTATGTACAAACAAGAAGTCTCACTTTGACATAAACTGTAGGTCTGTGTCTCGTGCATTTTTGGTTATTATTTTGTTTATTATTGTTTATTATTCATTAAATTAAGTTACACTGAGTAGAGTAGCAAGAATTTCTTCCTCAAGTAAGAGTAACAAGACTTCATAATATTATTACTCGAGTAAAAGTAAAAAGTACAGTGTAGAAAAACTCCTTGAAAGCATTTTTTTCCTCCAAAACGTTACTCAAGTAAATGTAACTGAGTAAATGTAATTAGTTACTACCCACCACTGTTAATACCCCATAATACACCAAAATAAAAAGCAATAATAATGTTTATATGGCCATAATATTCCAGGTTTACACTTTGTGGTTTGTTTGTTTTTATTTGTGTTTATTGTTTTCTTGTGTGCTGAAAGCATTTCACCAAACTTGCCAAATTTGGGAAAACTTGGCAAAAAATATCTTTTTTTTTTTATTTACATCCAAACTGTTTAGATATTTGAATAATAAAATAAATCCTGGAGTATAATGAGGTATACTCTTTGCTTCAAGTAAGTTATTGCTTACCTAAAACAAATTATTAGTAAAGGTCAATTTCTTATGAAGCCCCACAGCCCACTGCCCGTTTTTGATTTCTGCCACATTTGATTGATATTAAACACCTGTTCAATGATCCCAGTCTGCTGCTTTTAAGGATAAATTGCAAAATAAATGTGAGGAACTCACGAGATAATTGAAGAGATATGTGAAAAGTACATACAAATATTTTGGACATTGTATCAGTATTCATCAGCGTGTAAACAGAATTAACGAGAAGATAGGACTCCTTGGTTGAATGACTCCAAACATTCCCAGCTTGGTGACAAATGTGGGAATGGTGTTCAAGGCTTTTACGTCAATATCTTATAAATCAAAATCAACCCAAACTTTATCTCATTATAAGAGAGTGGACCAAAAATAACTTTTGCAGTTATACATTAACAAACCCTTTCATGTTTATGTGGCTGTGCTGTAGTCATCAAATGGTGCAACATGTGGAGCATAGTGGTAATGTAAATAAGTTAAAGGGCATATCCTACTTGAACAGCACGGGGATACCAACCCAAAGGTTTCCGGTCTACCGGCTTATTATTTTTTACCAAAAATTAAAGGACAGATTGTTCTTTATGTTTCCACAAAGTGGTCTTCAATTTTCTGCAGTGCAACTTTATATTCCTTCCTTTTGATTTACATTTTGGTTACAGCAGCTGATGCATCCAGATGTTGTCTGGAGCTTGTTTCTAACAGACTGAATTGAGTTCCGGCATCCCGGTGTGTCTGAAACACACCTTCTGTGGCAGATTGTGCCTCCTCACTAATGTCCGATTTTCCTCTGCCATTAAACTAGCAAAACCAAAAGGGGAACCTGTTCCTCATCGAACAAGAAAGTGGACTCTGATGGCTGCATAGAACCTAATCCAAGTAAGACATGCTGTAGAAACTTGATAACATCTACCTGTGTTTGGGAGGTTTATCACAATGTACACACACTACAGAGTTGATTAAGAAATCCTTTAATCCGTTCAGGGACACATTTGGCTTCACATTTGTCTTCATGCCACTGAGCACCTGTTTTGTTTTTTGTCTTTTTCGTGCATTAAAACCGAACAGGGTTTAAAAACACTGCTCAGATCATTCCTATGGACTGTGCTGTATAAATAATAATATTTATACCTCATTGTATTTATCAGATCGCGTGCTTGGTAATCACTTTCATTTGAATTTCATGTATTTGCTTTAAGTTGTAATGTATGTCTGCATTTGTCTTTATCACCATCTCTTTCTTCAAGTGTTGTATCAGCCTGCTAAAAATTGGAGCAAAAGAAAACGCACATGCTGCCTTATTATTCAGATAAAATGATATTTTCTTACTTTTCTTATTTTATGCAACTAAGAATGTTTGATCAAAGATAAAGCTGTTAAAAAAACAAATCAAAGCTGATTGCAGATGTTTTAAGTTCAAAAAGGAAAAATGTTATTTTATACAGTGATTTTCAATTATTTGTTATATTAACGATCACTGAAAGCTTAAACAGTGGTCCAAAACTGGTTTGGTATTTGTAAATTAATGATGTTTAATGTCCGATTTCCCCTTTTTGTTCCTTGTCCGGTTGTGAATGTTGACTCTGTAAAATTTAACCCCCAACGATACTTTTTAAAGGCTTCATACATTGTGACTTTAGAATAAACTACAAAGTCACACAGAAATTAATGCTGGAAGTGAGTGTGGTGAAACTGGTTTATATCACAGTTATTATTTACATTATTTACAGTACAGGCATTCTTTATAGAAACAGTTCAGAGTTAGTATAAACGGAAAAAACATTTTCTGTTGTTTTGGAAAATGATACTGCAATTGACCTTTAGCCAAAAGTCAAAATCAACAGAGCAAGTTGAGCTTTGAGTCAGATGTTTCTAATTTCATTACATTAGATCCAACTTCCCATTTTTTCTGACATCTAGTAAATAAATAAAATGCAAATCCTCCAGAGCTCTTTGATGCTTCTGCACGTGTCACAAGCATGGCTTTTATTTTGGACGGCATCTTTAATTAGGAAGAGGGAAGAATCTTGTTAAAATAAACAGTTAAACATAATTTAACAGAGTTTTGTCTGTTTTATTGATCCATAATAAATTAATTAAGGGTAGTCGCAGTCCAAAACACCTTTTCCAAGTGGTATATTAAAAAAAAAAATAAATGGTAGCCATACATATAAATTCCAGCATTTATGAGTTTGTTTTTATTATTACTGCATCTGCTGCCTTGAGTGTAACATAAGGGATTTTTGACAATTGTTTCTCAGACATGACAAAAATCAACTTAGCACTGCTCTTTCTGATATCTCCTTCATGTTGTTTTGTACCTTAAAACGTTTTTACTGCAATAAAAAGATTTGAAAGATCAACATACTTCATCGTTACACTCTTTACTTGTTTTTGTTATTAATACGTTGCACTACTTTCTCAGTAAGTTAATAGTAAGTAATAAAAATGCTGCAAAGTGACACTATAGCTGGAGTTTTCTTCCACTGCAGTTATACTTGCACATAATTGGAACATAAGAAAAAGCAGAAGATGTTTTTCGTCTTTCAGTCTACAACAACCGTTTTATCGTAACCGCCTCAAATGTTCCTTAACCTGCTGATTTTTTAACCTGTTCTGATGTCATGACATTTTTGTGAACCTTGATCTCTGCCTACTTTCTGGTTTTGCTTGCTGTTTTCCATTTGTTTTAATAAATTACCACAGAGAGCTCCTGCCAACATACACTGTCTGAGACGTTATAATAAAAAACCCAAAACAAAGGTAGTTAACTAAAGCTGCAGAGCATCATTCAAAGGGACAGTCCCCTCTCTAAATCAAAATAATGGTTCCCCTCATTGTCATTCAGTGTCACTCAGTTCCATAACATTCAGCAGCACTATAGATTTTATACATTGAATCTGAAAAGTGGCCCTCACATCTTTTCTCTAAAAGTTTTAAAGTAGAATAGATGAGTTGTGATAGTGGGCGATACTACATGAATCCTTCTCCTTATGTCAGTCACCAAACACACTATGTACCTTGTCATTAATACTATGTAATCAACCCTTTTCACATTTGCAAACCTCAATTCAATTGGGTAAATATCACAATGTTACATTGAAAAGCAACATAATTAGTTGGATATTTTAGCGTCTAAGAATAATTCATAGCGAATGATCAGATTTCAATCTAATCCACCTCTTGTAGGGTGGAGCTTTTCCTTATCAAACCAGAGGAAAAACTTAAAGAACCATTTGTGGCAAAGCAGATAAGACGAGAGATGAGATCACATAGAGGCAGTCCACTAAATTATCAAGCACTTAAAGTAACATTATTCAGTACAGACACTGGAAAATCACCCTGCCACTCCACAGACCTGCACACGAAGCAAACTGGTAACAGAGTTGTTTCATATTAAAGTTTTTGAATTGATGCAAACCCTCCCTTTACTGCACAGACTAAGCACAGAGCATCATGTGCCACAGTTTCACACATGGAGAACAGATTTGTAGTCCGTGGCATCAATGTAGTGGCAGCCATCCTGTTTATAGTTAATCCTGTTAAATGCTGCCATCCATATCAGTATGCTCTGTTTGCAGTGTCCATTGGCATTCTTTTAAGTGTGCTACTGCAAAGCACGCAAAGCATCCATGAAACGCATGAAAAACTACATTGTGAAAACTAGTTCTTGTTTTTCCAGCTAGCTTCAGTATTTCCTCCCTCATTCTTCCTCACCTGGTACAACCTCTCTCCTCTCCCTCTCTTCATCCTCCTCACTCAGCTACAAACTAGAAAATAACAAAAATATAATCTTATGATTATAAGAGCAAGTGGGGGATCCACAGTTGACAACAGGACAAAACACTGCTAAGTTATGTGAAATCATCAGAATTGAATGTGGGTGAAATAGAAGCTACAGCTTTATAATAATTGGAGAATTTGACTACATGTCGACTCTTACCCGCTTCTTTTTGCTCTGTCTTTCTTTGCTCTCTCCTCTCCTCCCTCTGTCTTTGTGCTGTCACCCAAAAGTTAAATATTACAGTGAATAAAGATGATGACATTTACGAAGGTGGGTAGTAAAACTCGCTTTAATGAATACCTGGAAACGATGGAGGAAATGAAATACACTGATTTCCAAGTGATTGGTTTGAGCGTAAGCTGAAACTTGGTGTGAAACCAGGAGGAAAATTTCTCCTCTCCGTTGATCCTTTAATCAGCATCACTGTGTTCAGGTGTGTATGAGCTTTTAAACAGCCTAGCCGGAGTGTTGGGCCAGTGGGTGATTTGACTAAAGCCGTTTCCGCCTTTCATTCAAATACGAAAGCGAGAAGTTGAGCTGGACAGAAGTCAAAACCAACTTTGGCAGTTACAGTTAAACCCGAAGGGTCGTTTTATCCGAGGCACCGACTCATAATGGTGAAGCGTGGGGCAAGAAAAGGCTGCAAATAGCGATGATTATGAGCGGTAAGAGCAGTTTTCTCTGCACGCTCACCACACCTCACTCATAAATCAAACAATTTTACGTTTGTTGTTTATACACCAGCGCATACACTGGGCAGAACGACTTGTCGTAGAGGTTTTACACATCGAGAAAGGTTTAAGTCGAATTCGGCTTTGTGTTGTGTAAAGTTGTGACGAAAGAACTGATCGTTTCTGATCTTTGCTGTCTTTTAATTCCCACTCCAGCCGTTTTACATGAAGTAAATGGTGTCATCGTTTTATCCTCTTTATGGTTAAAGAGTGTAATGTGTTGATTTTGTTGTTGATGAAGATTCAAGTTTTGTTTTGGTTTTCCGAGCTAACTTTATGCCCCACTTAACAGAGGTGTGGACTCGAGTCACATGACTTGGACTCGAGTCAGACTCGAGTCATTAATTTTATGACTTTAGACTTGACTTGAAAAAATGTTCTAAGACTTGTGACTTGACTTGGACTTTTACACCAATGACTTGGGACTTGAATTGGACTTGAACCGGTTTACTTGAAAAGACTTGATATTTCACCCCAAATATAAAATTTAACACGCATATTATATAGAGATTGAAAATGTGACGTCATTCACGGGTAGAACCGCAAAGGATTCTGGGAACTCGTGGCAAGAAGTACTAGCGCACGCAGGCTTTCAATTAAAATCAGTCACACAGCGATAAAAAGAAACACAAAAATGTCAAGAAGCTGTTGTATTATTAACTGCAATAGCCGGTCGCATGACAGCCACGGGAAGCCGACGGGTAAAGAGATCGGTTGTTATCGGATTACGAGGTTTAAGAGAAATTGTTCAGCCATGTTTCTGAAGTGACAAACAGGTGACGGATGGCCTGGATTGCAGCCATTCAAAGACCAAATATAACGTCCCAGAACACTCCAGCTCACAGGTTAGTCTGCTCCAAGCATTTACACAAAGGTCAGTCTGCTGTTGTAGTTAATGCGTCATTTTCATAACATAATTGGTGATATAGGTTACAAGCAAGTCTGGCGCTGAACAGAAATTGTCGCGCTATGCTCCTTTATTTATTGTGCATAAATAGTGAATTGTCCTGACACAATATTGTGTTTCGCTTCTGTTTTTATGGTACATTAACAAAAACATATACTTTTATTCACAGGATAAAACAGGTTTTTTGTATCACTAATTGCCCAGTACGATTACAGCATACAATATTATTGTCACTGCTACATTTCTGTGATGCTACCAGAAATTATTTCCACTGCTAATTAATTATCGTTGAGCTCAAAGGTCCTATTAATAAACGGTTAAGGAATGTGTATTTATGAAGACGATTTGTGAGACTGGTAAACTTATGATACGTACGATGGTCTTTCGTTCTACACGGTGCGTTTCAAGGTCCTGCACCCATCCGGCGGTAAACTGTACCTGGGCTTGTTGCAGTGACCGGAAGTTACTAAACTTCATGAGTGTATGCACTCACTCCAAGAACCGTATGCTTATAAATATGCATATAAATATGCTACGATGAGATAGCTGACTTCATCTAACTAGCAAATGTTGTCCAGGCTACGTTGGTGATGCAGTTTTTTTTAATGTGTATGATATTTTTGTCATGCGATTTTAAAGCCGGTCCTACAACCGCATCCAAGAATAACATGCAGCTTATCTCAGAACTGTCGGTGAAAATTATTCTTGGAGCTAGGTTTAATTGAGCTGCATTTTAAAGAGGTGCAATTTCACAATTTGTGTATATTTTCCAAGTTCACTATTTTGTCATGTGTTGAGAAAAACACAGATTTAAAAATTACATGGTCTAATATTTACATTTAGCATAACTGCAACATGCTTTTTTTCGTTTTTTTTTTAATGACTCGAAAGGACTTGAAATTCAAAATTTCAGACTTGTGACTTGACTCGGACTTTTACACCAGTGACTTGAGACTCGACTCTGACTTGCCTGACATTACTTGAGACTTGACTTGAGACTTGAGGATAAAGACTTGAGACTTACTTGAGACTTGCAAAACAATGACTTGGTCCCACCTCTGCCACTTAACTCTTCACCTAACACCTTGTTGTGGATCATCGTTTCCATCTTGAAAACTTGGCCTACTGCAATATAAGAAAACATCTGAAATGCCGCAACATTATTTATATGTATCCATATTGATGAACTCCTTATGGGGGTAATTTTAAAAACGCCACACAGACTGGCTTTTGTGACTCATTCATATTTGTGTCCATTCTTTCAGGAAATGCCAGTCTTTATGTAAATACGAAAAAATACTAACCTCATAGAGGATGACTCATGTAAAAGTTTTTGGAGTTCAGTTACACGTTAAAGCATCTGAGGTGATTCCTGCTCAGTGTGCTTTAGACTGTCACAGCGAGCAGGCCGGTGTTATTTTGCATGACATTTGCCTTTTGTAAATAAACCGGACAATGCAAATTCCTGTGCAGTTGGATACTCTGTGGAACGTGGCTCTAGCACCATGTTGTTTATTAAAACACAGACTGTAATTCAGTTTTACGTAAAGCTATGCAAACCAGTGGAAACATGTTGCCAGTTTAATACAGAGCTGATGTGAGAGAACCACAGGAGGTGGTACCGGTAAGCGCTTTCTTTGTTTTTTAATGTCGACTGCTAGAAATCCTTAGTTTTGAAAATTAAAAACTATTGCAGGTGTCTTGAGCACCCTATATGTATATTTTAAAGTCATTTGTGTCAATTTCTTTATACATGCAAAATGCATGTATAAAGAAAAATGCTCTATACAGAGAGTTCTTAAGAACGAGAACTAAAGATGCTGAAATCAGATACAAAAGATATAAAAATAGGTTAACTAATATACTTAGATTTAGTAAAAAGGAATACTATAAGAAGCAATTAGATATAAATAGAAATAATAATAATAAAAGATTATGGGAAATCCTGAACAGTGTTATAAAATGTGGGACTGGACAAAAGAACTATCCCAAGTATTTCATTTGTAATGACCATGAAGAATACAATATGGATGTTGTGGCAAATAGTCTCAATGAATTCTTTGTAACTGCTGGACCAAATTTAGCAAGAACAATCACTCATCCTGGGAAAGCACAGGAAAAACCCGATACACTGATTGACAGAAATCCATATTCTATGTTTCTCACAGCCGTTGATGAAAATGAAGTTCTTGAAATTGTCAAAAAATGTAAAAATCACAAATCTTTGGATTGTAATGATATTGATATGATAGTGGTTAAAAGAGTCATTGAGGCTATTATAAAACCATTTACATCTGTAATTTATCATTTCAAACTGGTCGATTTCCAGACAGAATGAAAATAGCAAAAGTTATACCTCTATACAAATCTGGAAACAAACACCATTTCACAAACTACAGGCCTGTGTCTTTACTACCTCAATTCTCAAAAGTTCTTGAAAAACTGTTTAAAAACAGACTGGAAAAATTTATAGATAAACATAAACTACTCACTGAGAGTCAGTACGGATTCAGATCAAGCAGATCAACATCATTGGCACTATTAGATTCAATAGAATACATCACAAATTCCATAGACAAAAAGCAATATGTGGCTGGGTTATTCATAGACTTGACAAAGGCATTTGACACTATAGATCATGATATATTAATAAGAAAACTGGAACGTTATGGTGTCAGAGGGGTAGTTTTAGATTGGGTCCGGAGTTATTTAAGTGACAGAAAGCAGTTTGTGAAAATAAATGGTGGTTGCTCCTTATGTATGGACATTGCTTGTGGTGTACCCCAAGGGTCAGTTTTGGGTCCAAAATTCTTCAACTTGTACATTAACGACATCTGTAAAGTGTCCAAAGTATTAAAAATGGTTCTCTTTGCTGACGATACAAACATTTTTTGCTCTGGTGATGATCTGCAGAATTTATTGGAGGATATGACTAATGAAATAAGTAAAGTGAAGTTCTGGCTTGATAAAAACAAATTATCATTAAATTTGAATAAATCTAAACTTATGTTATTTGGAAATAGTAGTTTAAATACAAATGCAAAGATTCAAATAAATGGTGTTGATATTGAAAGAGTCAGTGAAAATAAATTTCTGGGGGTAATAATAGATGAAAAACTTAACTGGAGAGCTCACGTAAGATATATTCATTCCAAAGTATCACGAAGCATTGCAGTACTAAACAAGGCAAAACAGGTATTCGACAGAACATCACTTCATATTCTCTACTGTTCACTGGTTTCACCATACTTAAGCTATTGTGCAGAGGTCTGGGGCAACAACTATAAAACCACATTACATTCACTTTTTACTCTTCAAAAAAAAGCAATTCGAATCATCCACAATGCAGGTTATAGGGAACATACAAACTCACTATTTTTGCAGTCTGAAATATTGAAAATTGACGATATAGTGAAATTCCAAACAGCACAAATTCTATTCAAAGCAAAAAATAAAGAACTGCCAGGTAATATTCAGAGTATGTTTTTTTTGAAAGAAGGAAGTTATAATTTAAGGGGTTTTTGTAACTTCAAAGCAATGAAGGCACGTACTACAAGAAAAGGCTTTTGTGTTTCTGTTCATGGAGTGAAACTATGGAACAGTCTGAATATGGAATTAAAGCAATGTCCAAACATAAAACTGTTCAAAAAGAGTTATAAAAATATGATCTTCTCGATCTATAAAGAAAAGGAAAATATTTAAATTAAGTGAATGTCTCTATTTAAAAACAAACAAGCAAACAAAAAATTCA